AGGAAGGATACCTGGAAAGAGGGCTGGAGCGAACGTGGAGTGCATCGGCAGGCATGATGACGTCACCAGCGATGCGTTTATGAGCATGTATGCTGAGGATGACTTGTCAGGTGCACTCCTTTGTTAAGCCCTTGGCTCAAGACTCAGATTTCCATTGCTTTGTTGGCTTCTCCCTTTCCTCATGTCACTTAAACATTAGTCTCAAATTGAATAGAAGATCGGGATGTCACACATACACTAAAGTGAACTTATTGAGTGAGCACAATCATAAGAAATTGCTTTTTTTTCATGAAATACTTGTTTTCACTATTAGCATCCTTTATTGCATCTCAGTGTAGCTGATCTCCTGCAACCTCTTTATAAACACCATGGGGTTTATTTACTAAAGATGGTTCACTCAGAATCTCATGCACCTCTGCAAAGAAACCAATCAGCTTCCAGGTTTTATTGCTAAAGCCTAATTCAACAAGCTGAGGTTAGAAGCTGATTGGCTACCATGCACAGCTGCACCAGAATCTAAGTGGACCAGCTTAAGGCTGGCCATACATTATACAATTTTCTTGAGAATTTTGCTTTAGATTTACCAAAAACCATATATTATGAGGTCAAACCTAAACAACACTTTCAATTGTATCCAATTAGGCAGGCATTTGCACTACATAGTTGAAGGTAAATCTAAAGGAAATTGAGCAGAAATTGTAATAAAATTGTATAGTGTATGGCCAGCCTTAGTAAATCTTCCCCCATGTGTCTACAGACACTCCAACAATGATTGCATTCCATTTCTCAGGATGCTTTCTTGATGATGACAACAGTTATGGCCACTGGTAGTCTCTCTCAGAAGCCCATGTGACATGATGCCAGCACAGGATAACTGTTGGGAGACAGGGACACGTTGTCACCCTATAACAAATCCTTCCTAAAACAAGGACTTTCATGGCAGGATCAGCAAGTATCATTTTAATGAAAGCTACAGATGGGTTTTTAGTGATTGGATTTACATTTACTTTAAAAGATAAACTGAAAATGATTTACATTTCTGTTTATATTGTAGGTCTATCATAAGAAAGACAAATCCATTAACAACGTCGAAAGTAGCCTACTTTAAGAGGAAATATGCAGAAGAAGAAAATGTACATCAAGATTGCCAAGGATGTTTTCCAAAAGTAAGTCTACTGTGTTATATGTACTTTTTGCCTCTTGCTAATTTAAAAGATTCAATTATCAACATAGCATGTTGGAAAATTAAGTAGGTAAATTTAGCAATTTTGCTAATTTGTAAAGAAAACAAAATTCTGTTAGCCAATTTTTTAGATTGCTTCTAACTATCCTTACTATCTAAGGAACTGTTTTTTTTTTTCCTTGACCCCATCTACTGAGGATATCAGATTGCTGGCACACAGGGTAGAAATGATCATCTATCATTACATTAATTACGTCATCCCTGTGCTATTAGCATGCTCACAGTGTAAAATTGACAAAACACCCACATGGAAGAAAAATATATTTGAAATATATTTAAAAAATATTCTTCCCAAATATATTGACATATATTTGAAATACTATAATTTTGGCCATATTCAATATATTTCAAAATATATATCAATTTATATATATATATAATCCAATATTGTACCGCGCTCTAATAGGTTCTACCTCTTGTGATATAATGAATACCTGTGTTTGTCACCAATTACCAAACAATTTCATCAATCAGTAATACTTAAATCCATAATTAATGTGAATATACAATTAAGTTTCTATAAATGTGAAAAAACAAAAACAAAAATAAATAAATTAAAATTAATGAAGTGGGAATGATAGTTCTCCTTTAAATGAGTAGAGATGGTATTATTCTGACTGGGCTGTATTAAGGATCTGTGTCCACTGCGTGAACCTCTCTCTCCTCAGCTCAGCCTTCTCTCAGTAAATCTTCCTCCGCTGGCTGCTTGATTTAATCCTCCATATATGAGACATGAAAAGAAGGGAAAAGAAACATAGTGTCTTATCCGGGATTTCAGCTGTTTAATGTGCTTTGATTTCTCACTCACATTGTGAAAGATAAAGTAGCACTTTACATAACATGTATCCAAATCGTATTTTGGTCAGCTTTCTGGGTGTGTCTGCCTTCAGTGTGTATACTCGCCGTTCCTCTGTGGATGCGTGATGACATCACCGCCCCTCCCCTACGCGTTACGCTACAGGTACTCGTAGCTTCCTCTGGGGGATGTAGTTTTTTTATATAGGCGCCAACTGCCTATATAAATGGAGCAGAGCGCAGTGACGTCCAATTGTTTTCCTCCTGATGAAGCCACGTGACCCTGTGGCGTAACGCGTAGGGGAGGGGCTCTGACGTCACGATGCCGCGGTGGACGAGCTGCACTTACGAGCATAGGATCTGGGCACATACCTGCTGTACACAGCGCTGCTGAATGAAATGTGAGTGGCGATTTTGTTCATAAATAAAAGGCTAAGCCTCACAAAGGATAAGGCACTATCTTGGCTCTTTCTTACATGGTGCACTGGGAGGAGGAAATACCACCTAAACCATCTCTAAACCACCCATTGAGGCTAAAGTGTGGAAGGAGGGAGACCTCTGGTGGCAGAAAATAAGGCAATACGGATGGAAACATGCATATAGTATGAAGATTCCCACCCTGTCCTGATAGGACAAAAAGTGTTTTTAGCCACTTTATCTGGCTAATTAAGGAGGTGAGCGCACACCTATCTATAGAGCACAGGGAGTGTGGCACTATACACCTTACTTGTCACTGAAAAATTATAAAAGCACAAAGAGGACTATATATGAAGTTTTTTGAGTACTGGATTAGTATTATTTTGAAAAGCACTATATGTTGCACTGGTTTGAAGCACATTAATTTTGTTCACGTTATCATTTTTATGATCACTTGCATATGAGTTTTAAAATAGATTATGGAGCGCGGCACATATATGTATCTGTAGATATATATAATTTTGTATATAGTATACCTGGAGTTCACCTTAAAGTGTTACTAAAGGCAATTTTTTTAAATTAAAATTTCAAACATGGTATACTTACCTTCTCTGTGCAGTAGTATTGCACAGAGTGGCCCCGATCCTCTTCTTCTTGGTTCCCCTACCAGCTATCCTGGCTCTTCCTCTGCTTTGTGTGGGGACAAACACTGCTTGCTCGCTCCTGACCTGTGTGTCTACAGAGCCCTGCTCCATAGACACACACAGCAGTACTTAGCCCCCTCACTCCTTCTTCACCGTATTTGATTGACAGCAGCTAGAGCCAATGGCTGCTGATGCTGTTCAAGTCCCTGTGTGAAGAGGAAGGGAGAGGAGAAGAGATGCAGCTGTGCACAGAGCTGATCTGTACTCCCCTCTCTTCCTCTTCACATAGGGAAGGGGGAATACAGGGAACTGAAAACGTTTTTTTTTTTTTAAATAAATGCAAGCAATACATTAAGGTAAAAAATGTTTTTAGGTTTAGTATCACTTCTAAATAGTTAGCACCTCCGCCTTGCAGTACTAGGGTTGTTGGTTCGAATCCCAACCATGGCACCACCTGCCTCGAGTTTGCATGTTCTCCCTTTGCCTGTGTGGGTTTCCTCGGGTACTCCGGTTTCCTCCCACACTCCAAAGTCATGCTGGTAGGTTAATTGGATCCTGTCTAAATTTGCTTTGTATGTGTATGTATGAATTTCAGTTAGGGACTTTAGATTGTACGCCCCTTGAGGGTTAGGGACAGATGTGAATGTACAATATATGTATGTAAAGAGGAAGGGAAAGGAGAAGAGATGCAGCCATGCACAGAGCTGATTGCTACTCCCCTCTCTTCCGCATCACACAGGGAATGGGGAACACAGGGAAATGAAAATGTATTTTACCTAAATGCAAGCAATACATTAAGGTAAAAAATGTTTTTAGGTTTAGTATCACTTCTAAATGGTTAGCACTTCCGCCTGGCAGTACTAGGGTTGTTGGTTCGAATCCCAACCACGGCACCACCTGCCGGGAGTTTGCATGTTCTCCCTGTGCCTGTGTGGGTTTTCTCCGGGTACTCCGGTTTCCTCCTAAAATCCAAAGTCATGCTGGAAGGTTAATTGGATCCTGTCTAAATTGGGTCTAGTATGTGTATGTATGAATTTTAGTTAGGGACTTTAGATTGGATTTTTTTTTCTCTTTTTTGTTGTAGTGACTATGATCATAAGGACAGATAGAGGTCATGAACCTCCCCAGTGAAGTTCTAACCCTTCATTACTTGATCCAAACAGAGAAAAAAAATTGGCTTTAGATACACTTTAAATAGAAGAACTAGCAAGTAGGGATGCAACGATACTGTATATTCATGAGTGCTCGTACTCCATCTGGTGCTGACCAATCAGATGCCATCTAGTCCGAACTGTCATCGCTGAAAGGAGAGAAAAGAAAGCGGCGGGGATTTCAAATCTCCGCTGTTTTCTCTCCCCTCCTACCACTGGGATGCCTGCAGGGAGGTTTCCCGTACTGCTTCTGTGTGAACTGGGGCTATGATAAGCCTGGATTCATACAGGAGCAGCGGGCAAACTGCATGCGATTTGGAAAGGAATCACATTCCTGTTCAAATTGCATGTTAGTTTTTGCTGTTCAGTTTGCGTCCATCAATGCAAATCGCACCACAATGTATCGGTAGCTGGTATCAGTGAGTACCGAAAGTATCGGTATTCATACTTGCCGATAAAAAAAACGGTATCAGTGCATCCCTACTAGCAAGCTTATCAGAAGATTAACGCCCTTGTGATTTACATTTGCAGCACCTGATATTACCTGAAGACCGGACTTGCATTCTTAAACTCTCTCTTGAGAAGCTCCGGTTCTTGGAAGACCCCGAAATCTATCTACGGAGGTCCGTGCTGATCAATAACCTGCTCAGGAAAATTCACCTGGAATCCGATAAGGAGAACTATGAATACTACAAGGGGATCCCCAACAACAAGAACCCCTATACAGACTCTCGAAAACGGGTGAAACTCATGGTAAAAGGTTGTTATTCTCAATCTCTGTACTATGAAGGGCTGAGGTCATATCATATTGTGCCTTACACTACGGATGATGTCCTCTATCAGATGGGCTACAATGGAGGTCACATGGCACAACACTCTCAGCTGCTTATTTATCGGATGAAAGAGTAACTGCCCGCTCAGCTGTACTCTAGTCCAAGTCAGCAACATCCAGAAATGGAAACGCGATAAAACATGGTCTCGCTTGCAAGTAACTTCTTTTTTATGTGGAACAAAAGCAACAGGTGAAATAGTGACTTAAAGCAGTTTGGTCAATATATTAGATGTGTGATTGTACAAATGGCATAGCTTTTCATCACATGTACGCATAGGATGCACATATGTCTGTTGCTCTGGCAAATCTTTGAGTCCCACCAGGTAATAGCTAGGCATTGTAAAATCGATATTTGCAGTTTTTATCTTTTTTTGGTCTGAGTGGAGCTTTGTTTATTAGTAGACTACAACAAAACACCTGAAACAAATGTTCTAGCTTACTTTGGACAATGTTTTGTCACCTACAGTATTTTTAAATGTATGAATCTTTATAAACTGTTTATAAGTTGGTTTACAAAAAAATTTTCATGGATGCTAGAAGGCCCCTTTAGGTATAGCCTTCTTAAACTCACTCTGTTTAAAAAATGTAAAGAACCAGGACCTGCGAAGAAAAGGCTTTATACTTACATGTCCTGCTGCCCCTTTATCCAGTGTTTTCTTTGTTGCAGAGAAACAGCCTCTCTACATCTGAGTGTCACAAATGCCGGGTCCCCTGCTGTGCTCTGTGGTTCCTTTCATAATCCACTATATTACTACAGGACACTGGGGTCAGTGGAAGGAGCCACAGCATGCAGTGGGGGTGCAGGTATCTGACACCTCCGGGAGCATGTGAAGAATCTGAAGATTTTTTAAGGCAAATGTAGGTCTTGCACAGAAGGAAGATGAGAAGAATGGGGATGAGACAGGTCAGTATAAGCCCTGCTCTCAGAAGGTCCACATTTTTTTTTTAAAACAAGCAGAAAACTTGCTTTAACATTCTCAGGGATGTGGTAGGTGAGGTTTTGCGCCAGAATTTTATTCTACATTTGCTCGTTGTGCCTTTAAGGTAGACCTGTGATCAGTGAGAACAATTTGGACTGAGCATATGAAAACAATTACATGCTCCTTAGTAATAAAAAACTGCATATTTATGCATATCTCCATTCTTCCTGTAAACAAATCCACATCCCTCTTACTTCTCAAGTCTCCCTAAAGGTTATTTAGGATACTTAGGAGCAGGGGCGGACTGACCATTTGGAAACTCGGGCACTGCCCGAGGGCCCGGGGTCAGTAGGGGGCACCATGAGATGCCCCTGGTACCTTTTTCATAGGCTTTTTTGAATTTGGGCAAGGACACAGGGGTCCCATGATCCCCTATTGCCCGGGGGCCCTATGAGTTGTCAGTCCGCCCCTGCTTAGGAGATAGGAGTTGAGAGGTGGCGAAGCATTTAAAGTCTATATTTTCATATCATTTTTACCTTCCTGTAGCTCTGAATATTCGGAATGTTGTGGTACACAATTTTCACTGAAGGTCAGTTCTGCTTTTCAGTTTTATTTGCTCATATATATGACAAGTTTACTAAAAAAAACATTGCCACCTTAAAATATATTATAATTGGTGTAGAATGAAGGTGGAGGCAATGACCTAATAGAGGGAATCTCAGTAGTAGATTAGGAAATCTAGAGATAGGACTTCACACACATATGTTAGGAAGTGAGGACCATGGCCAAAAAATATATCAGTGATCAAATATGGCCTTACTGGAATATATTATATAGGCTACAGGCTATTCCACTGAAGTTGGGAAGCTGCCCTGACTATTTTTTATATTAGCATAGACATATTTTTATTAAAAGGATGGCAAACCTAACATACAAATAGAAAATCTACTAAAGAGGAAGAACTCTGAGCAGACAATTCCTTCTACACATAATCCAGAACAAAAACAAAAGAATTGAGTGGAGTTGACTGTTTGGATCCCCATAGGAATTCTTCATATTTTAATAGTTCAATGTGGTATCTGTTTATGGGAGAACATTTGCTGAATGTTACTAAAACTAGCACTTCTAACAACACATTTAAAAAGGCAATGATCCAGATGCGGATGAATTGCCTCAGGGGGTTAAAGGTGCTGGTGAAACTTGATAAGATTGGCAAAAGCAGGAGAATGACGTTTTTCAAATGAATGGTGGCCCCTGAGCAGATCTGGTGTTTGGCGCTTCTTCAGCCACTCTTCTACAGGGTTCAAACAGGGTTGTTGTATTTAACTGCAGAGGTGTTCCAACAACTACATTTACATGTAAAGCAAACATCTCAATAGGACCCACTGTAGAGAAACGTTATGCATAGCAGGCCAAACACAGTCCAGGGTTGACATCCACCCTATGCCCTGGGACTAAATGAATCCATGTCAGATATAGAAAAAAATGTCTATCTACACAAGCCCTAAAAGTCATACACATGGCAGGATCCAAAATATTGAGGAACTGTGGATTACAATGATCTTAAAGTATCCTCCCCATTTCTAGAAAGAAACATTTACTTTATAGATTATCAGTAGCCCCCAAGTAAACATTTAGTAGCCACTAATATGTCTGTGTCATTGAGCTTAGGGCTTTTGTTGATGTTGTCAATTTATCATCTGTTTAAATGATTCTGTGGTCATTCAGAACTCATTGACAGGTACATTTAACTTGCACTTGACTTTTTTTGACCTGCTTCAAACTGGTTTTGGGTTCCCATAGACATGTATGGGAATGCAAAACAAAAAAACCAGTCGATGTTCCCTAAGGCTACAGGACAGGGTTTTATTCAAACCTCAGTCAGATTTATGTCTGAAGTAAAATAAAATCCAGAAAATATAAAGAAAATTGAATCACATAATAATTACAAAATTCCCTAATTAGTTAAAATCAATTATTATGAACTTATAAATTGGAGAAGAAAACTTAGGAGAAGGAGCTTATTACCTGACTAATGAAAAAATCCACTTGCTCTTCCTTATTAAGTCACTGATTATCAAAGCCACGAATGGTCCTTTTTTAAGCCAATAATAAGGAAGCCCTATCACATAACACGCATACTGGACACATTGCTATGTGGGATATACTTCCCTAGTAGAAAAACACTGCCGTGCTAGACACAGCACCTAGATAGAATTAAGCATGTTTCATAAATCATTTTGATATAATTACATTGTGAGAAAGACAAGCACCTTACTTGCAGAACACAAGGGGGTCAGCAGTCTGGCAGCCTTGCTCCAATTGTACTGACTGCCCCATGTTTGCCATGCACTTTACATGACAAATCCACAGAGGCCACTAGAGAGGAGCATTGCCAGTGCAATATAGATCCTAACCGACAATTTGATTCTCTACACGCATTGAATTTAGCACTTAATTTTGCTGCATAAAAGCAGTAATATTATCCTCTGTACCTGCAGCTTTTAATCACAGAAATACTTATGTAGTCACTATACTACCAGATATAGCAGTCACACCCATCTAAACCCAGTTGCCACTGCTGAAAGGCAGTCAATTAGATCTAAACTGCTTCGCTGATTTTCAACTACAGAAATGTTCATACCATATATTCATCATATACATTCTATGGCCAAATTTTGTGGACATCTGACCTTAAAACTTATACTATGAGGTTGATTTACTAAAGGCACATACACCGTGCACTTTTCGAAGAGCAGTTGTACTCTGCAAGAGCATTCTGAGAGTGTACCCCTTTTCTGTTCCAACATGTCTGTGCCTCTGTACACAATGCAAGCACCATAAAAAAAAAAAAACAATATATATATATATATTAAAGTTAATTTTTAAGAAGTTTACATTTACACATTTCCAAGACCGATGTTAAGAACATAAGACAGGGTACACATGTGGCTCCCAGCATGAGCCATTTTTTACATGTACAGTATAAGAAGATATAACGCTCATTAAATGGTATGCTATGGGGGATGGGTTTTGTGTGGAGGAACTCAAGCCCTGAACTCAACCCAATTGAAAACCTTTAAGATGAATTGGAATGCTGATTGCGAGTCAGATCTGGAACATCAGTACTTTGCCTCACAAATGCTCACAGACACACTCCAAAATCTTATGGAAAGCCTGCCCAAGATATTGATGGCTGTTGAAGCTGCAAAGAGGGACCATCTCCATATTAATGTTGGTGATTTTGTAATAGAATATCCAACACGCTTATATAAGGACGCAACACACTTTAGCCATGTAGGTTATTTTCAATTCAGTAGATCTGTATATGTTATTCAGTCTCTTTTTACATATACTGAGATGTAATTTAGGTTTACATGTCCTTTAATATATACATTTAGAGTTGTGATGGTTTCTATGTGCTGTCAGACAAGAAATGTAGGATGGGAGTAGAAGTTGCCTATATTTAGTACAACCCAGGACCTACTTGATTTTAAATACTCCACTGAAGCTACTCATCAGTATATGTGAATTTTGAGAAGCTTGTTTTTCACCTAGAACTACCCTTTTAAGGGGAACTTCAGTGAAACCTAATAATTTTAAGGGCTTTATTTCTTATTTTCATGTCCATAGTCTAGCAGTGTCCTGTGCAGAAGCTCCTGGACTTCCTGTGCTGCCTAGGCAAGTTTTGCAATTTCCAAAGGACTTCTTGGGGGCAGAAGAGAAGGTAAGCCAGCCATAGTCTGTTCGAATCATGTATAGGCAGGCTGAATGAATCCAAGTTGATTGATGGATCAACTTGGGTACAACTAGCCTATCAGATTTTACATGCGATTATTGCTAGCGGCTATTATAGCTGCTAGCAGTAATCACTGTGTTCTCCCGGTGGTGACGGCTCTCCAAGAATACAGTGGCTCTGCAGGATGGATTCCCCAATCAATACTGACTGACCCTTGGTTGCAGGAAAGAAAATACAGAAGAAGATCCAGAAGTATGTCCTGAAGCCATGGCATGGAACAGGAACTGCAGGCTCTGGTCCTGTGAGGTCCATATAGCCTTCCTGTTACTATCTTTATTTTTTAAATTCACCATTAAAATAATACTGAATGACATCAAATGCATATGTGCTGATGTCATTGTGCACAATTACATTAACT